CTGGGCCCCACAATTTAAGAAGGATGCAAAGGTCCTTGAATGCTTTCAGAGGCGGGCAACAAAGCTGGTGAAAGGGCTGGAAGGCATGTCCTGTGAGGAGCGGCTAAGGACTTTGGGCTTGTCTAGTTTGGGGAGAAGGAGGCTGAGGGGCGACCTCATTGCTCCCTACAGCTTCCTGAGGAGGGGACGTGGAGAGGGAGGTGCTGATCTCTTCCCCCTGGGATCCAGTGGCAGGACGTGTGGGAATGGTTCAAAACTGTGCCGGGGAGGTTTAGACTGGGCATTAGGAAGCATTTCTTGACCAAGAGGGTGGTCAAACACTGTAACAGGCTTCCTAGAGAGGTGGTCGATGCCCCAAGCCTGTCAGTGCTTAAGAGGCATTTGGACAATGCTCTTAATAACATGCTTTAACTTTTGGTCAGCCCTGAAGTGGTCAGGCAGTTGGACTAGATGGTCCTTGTAGGTCTCTACAGGGACCAGAGACAGGGCTGGAGACGAGGCCTCAGCAGGGGTCCCAGGTCCAGCCATGAGATGGGGCCAGAGACAAGCTACAGGGTACACCGAGGAGATGAGCTGCCTACAGCATGTGAGATGTCCATCCAGGAGGCAGGGCCAGAGACAGGCACAGCTACAGCATAGCTCACGGAAGGACTGACGGCCCCAGCTGGGCTGTAATGGGACTTCTGGGCCCATGGGCAGGAGGTGAGGGTGGAGAGCCCAGGTGAGGCAGGTCAGGGCTGTTAAGGCCTACTCATGTCTTCAGGGCCCTGACACCTGCACACACAAAATTGAAACATGTGACAAAGGTGAAATTATCTGCTAACTTCTCTGGAAGGATCGAAACTATAAACTGAAAGTTAAGGATTTTTGAAAAACAATGAAAAAAATTGAAGCTATTATGTTACTGTATAACTTATGCCATGATCCAGTTTGAACACTGCATGCTGTTGCTGTCCTTCCTTCTCAGAAAGGTATAGTAGAAGTAGGAAAATTATAGAGAAGAGTAACAAGAAAGACCAAAAATATGGAATGAGCTCTTAGTTGCTCATCCAGTTCTTACACTTTCGCTTCAGTAACTGTTTTTTGCCACTCTTGGATACATGACATTGGGCTATCTGGAATTTGTTTCAGTTCTCTATGACTGCTATAAAACATTTAGGTATGAACTGTTAGGTTGTGTGATAAAAGCTTGTCTGCAGACCCATGAAAGAACTGAGAGAGGTGATGGCAGGTGGGGGATCCCAAATCACACCCTGCCCGGCTGCTCCCAGGCCCACCATGGGAGCCATCAGCCCATCAGAGGCCCATCTCCACAAGGCCAGGGGAGCACAGAGTCCTGAAGGCAGACAGGAGCCCAGATTAAGGACGCAGAGGGAGGGACAGCCTGTCCCAGGAGAGCCTCAGACCCACTGTCCAGCCATGGGACCCATCAAGGTGAATCAAAGCCAGATCCCCTTTTGGACTGAGGGGAGATGCCACCTGGGGTATGGGACACATTATGGGGTGCAGAGGAAGAGCATTTTGGGATTGCACAGGATTTATTATGGGGAAGTAAAGGGATAAGGGGATAAAAAGGGCTGGATGTGTGTAAATAGGTGATATGCTTGTCTGGCCATGCCCTGCTCCTGACCAGCACAGTCTGTCCTATCTTATTAAATTCCACTTCTAACTCTTTTCCTGGCTGAAGGGCATCTGTTCTGTGTGTGCATGTGTGTGCGTGTGTGTGTGTATGTGTGGCGGCTTGAGTGCCAGCAACCAGAGTCAGACGCTGGGGCAGAAGCCCGTGTGTCCATGGTGCCAGCGGCTGGAGCGAGCGAAGGTCTGGGTGCTGGCGGCTGGGCTGGGACCGTGGGCCAGAAGGCCTGTGCGCTGAGAGCCAGTGACTGGAGGGACCGGAGTGAGTAAAACCAAGCGCCAGCGCCTGGCGTGGGACTGGCGTGGAACTGTGGGTCACAGGGGCCTGTGTGTCTGTGGTGCCAGTGGCTGGACCGAGTGTGGGTGAGTGTGTGAGCACTAGTGAAGAGCCAGCTGGACAAGCCCACGGGTAGGTGAGGTGGCCTGGGAGCTGGGTATGAGTGTTTGCCTCCAGGGGTGAGGGGATGGTAGGTTGACTGCTGCAGGACCAGGGGAGTCCTGACCAGCTCTGGGTGTGTCACAGTGTGTCTCTAAGGGCAAGACCACAGGGGGCTTGGCTACTGGGAACCGGAGTAACCCCCCTGACCGCAGCGGGGTTGGCTACTGGAGTCCCAGTCTGCTTTGTCAGTGTGTGTGAGATGGGCTGTACCAGCAGCTGTAGTGGGGCTGTGTTCTTGGGAGCTTGTATCCAGGTGCTAGCAACTGGGGAGACTGGGATCCAGGGGCACCTACTGGGCAGTACCACTTTTTCTGCAGTATGTGACGATGTTTTATATTAGCTGGAACTTCCTAGTAGTAATTAGGGTTGTCACATGGTTTAATATAGCTTAGAGTTGATGAAAGCGTGACTAACCAAGGTCTGATCATGTTCTATCAGGATGGGATGAAATATCCCAATCGAATACAATGGAAACTGCTGCTATACATGCAAACACCATTCCTGTTTATCTAAGTATCAGAAATGGTCCTGCTCAATAACATTCAATTTATGATTTGTTGATGCTTGCTTTATTCAGTTTCTTTCCTTATTAGAACTATTATAAGACAACAGAAACCCTTACTAAGGAATTAATTATTTCCTTAAGACATAATTTACAATGAAATAAGAAACTTTATAAAAGGAACAAAATGTATGCTTTTCAGCTGTTTGTATGTCCTTCCTGTCTTCTCTGGATGGAAGCCAAGGAACCAGGATATTTCTGGGATTCTGTTGTATTTTATGGGTGTTTTAATCTCATACTGATCTTCTTCTATCCATGGCTTCTCCAGTGGATGGTCTTCAAACTTGCCATACATTGGACAAGCATGTAGAAGCGAAGATGCTAAAAATATATTTGCATAAATTGTCCTTGAAGGAGCAGTCGTTTCCCAGAGGTGGACCTCGTCATTGGGCTTTATGACCTTGCTTGTTCACCTTCTATCTCCATGTATCTCCTGTTCCTTTCGACAGAGTGGTTCAGTTTTGCTGGCCACGTTTCAGTCTTCACTCTAGACTGTTGCTAAGAGTAATTTCAAAGTGCATAAGGGCTTAAATTTGCTCTAGCTTGGTGAAAGACTTCTGGGGCAAATGTTCAAGCTGTTGTATAAAAGGGTATTGTCTTTTCTTTTCTCTGCCATTTTTCCGAAGAAAAATGTGTTCAGGTTATTTATATGTAAAAGGATAACTAAATAGCAGAGCCCAGGAGAGGTGGGACTGTGGTTCCCCTGTCCATATATCTACTACAAGTTCGTGAATCTCAAGAGAAAAGCTTTGAGAAAGGAAATGCCAAAGAAAAATTTCTATCCACTGTGTTTGGTATCTCACCCCACTAAGTGTACAGGCTTTTCTGAAATTCATTCCTACGTGCACGCTTTGGTATTTGGGAACTGGAAAGCCTAGTTTGAATTTGTTGATTCCATTCTACACCTTAATTCCACACTTTAGAGTTGGGCCTGGGGACACAGAGGACTGCCATAGATAAGTCCCTATATTAATTTGTGTCTTAGTGAGCATGCAGGAAATGTATGACAGGCACAGTATAAATTATATTTTACCATTACATATAATTTCATGCTGTTGAGATTTTTTGAAAGGTTAAGGAAAATGTTGGGAACCTGTCTCTTTAAATTCATCATTGCAGCAGCTATTGATTTGTCTACTCAAATGCTCTGTTTCACATCAGTGGGTACTGTTATTTGAAGGACTTATTTCTATGCTTTTTTGTCATTTTGAAAGAATTGGTGAGGTCGTCAGGAGAGGCCATTTCTGAGAGAGAACGGTTTCACTCAAAAGTGAATTGAAGATTGGGCAGGGGAGAAAAGACTTCCAAAACTGATAATAGGTATACAGGTATTGTCATAGCAGATTAAATGGCTAGTTCATTTTTCACAGCTGATCTCTGGCATTTCAAAAGCAGGGTTGTATCTCCTAACATAATTACGGATAGAGATGCAAATGAAGGAAATTATTTTTTTTTTTGGCCATTGCTCCAATGAAATTCCAGTTTTTACTTGCTTGTGAAGGTTATTAATTTTTTTTCCCTGGGGCACACTGTAGATAGATGAAGATTGATTGTTCATTGCCTCTCTACATGCATTTTTTTTCTTACAAGAGATGCTGCACAACTTTTCTTTTTTGAAGGCATAAGAGGGCACAGAACACAGATGTTCCTACCTTAAATGTTTAGGCCCAAGGACGTTTGTGGTTTACCAGAGGAAAGCAAGCGTGCACATATACTTGCTGAAATGAAGCCTAGTAAGACTGATTAGAGATGCCAATTTATCAGTTTCATTGAAAATACTTGTGGCTTGTATTTTCATGAAAAATTTGAATGATAAATCTTGTAATATTTGTCTGATTTTATTTTTTCCTTTTCCTCCCCCCCCC